TTGTTTTTTTTAAAGAGTACATAAGTTTAAAACATAATTAGGTTATAAAACAACTTCCCATAGTTTAAACATCTCAATTAGCACTGATAAATGTGTCATTTAAAATGAACTAAAATATGGCACAGTAAACATGTGGAAGACGCTCTGCTGAGATGGGATCAAAATATTATGAGGTTTGGAAAAGTGACACTGCGCATCACCTTGAACACACAATGCCCATCAGTGGCAAGACATCAACCCCAGACATAAATCCTGAGCTACAATAGAATTGATTACATCCCCCTAAATATTTGGATGCACATTCTAAAACTTTGTTTCCAATTCTTCGATTTCTTGCTAAGAAGTGTATTTTTGCTACGATGGACTTCACCATATGCCCCTACATTAGAATATTTGGATTACACAGATATCTGTCATCCTTCTTTTGGAAAACTCACTCATGATCTTAACCACAAATTGGATATATTTTTGAAGCTCTGAGGTTTGCTTAAGTCTTTTCTACTTAACCCCTAGATTTTAGTTTTTTATTATTTTATTTTACTGCTTTATTTATTCTTGCCTGTTTTTTTGTTTGTTTTGTTTGGTTTTGTTTTTTTGTTTTTTTTTCTGGCAACCTGTCCAGGGTGACCCCACCTCTTGGCCGGAACATTAGCTAGAGATAGGCACCAGCACCCCTCCCGACCCCACTAGGGACGAGGGTGTATAGAAGATGGATGGATGGATGGATGGATGTGAGGTGGCATGGATTGGAGGAAGAAACTAATAACTCCTTATTTCTTATTCATGTGGGATATTTTGCTACAGTTGTTTTGTTTTTTGTTTCTTTGTGTGTGTATGTGTGATGCAGCACGGGATTCTCTTTTGTTCTTTTTGCTGTAACTGATCTGAAATTAATAAAAATAATAATTTTAAAAAATAATTACATCAATATTAATGTGTTAGATTGAGTCCAGACCTGAATCCAGCTTAGCATTTCTGGTAAATTGCTGTTTACCGATGTTCTTCATTCTAAGTTTGAATTATTTTATGGATAAGAGCAGGTGAAAGATTCAATGTGCGAAAACTTGCAGCTGTTATTTCAATAGAAGATGGTTCTAGAAGGTAGTGATTGGTTCAGGAGTGCTGAAAACAGGATACACACCACACTTCAAAGTTTTATTTGTTAACATGAAAATCATATATTGTATTCCTTCCACTTCTCAGTTCTATATTACATTGTGTCACATAAAATGCCAATAAATTACATTTAGGTTCATGGATGTATTAAGACAAAATGTGAAAAGGTTTAAAGGTTTTTGTACAAAAAAGTAAAACAATTTTGATGTAGTTCATATTCGTGTTATTGCAATAAAGATTACACCAAACCTGAGTGTGTTTTTTTGTTTTGTTTTGTTTTTTTATATATAATTCTTAAATCTAGAATTAATTTGTCTTTTTTGAAGATGCAGCAGAGTGGATCATAATTGAATAAAATGAGCCTCTGTTTGAATTTGTATTTAACCTTTTGTAGGTTTGACTCCAAAGAACCTTGTGTTAAATTTTAGCTTTGTGGGAAATATATCTGAAAAAAAAAAACAGGGGAAGAAACTTTTTACATTTAAAGTATTTACCTGGTGATCTGTGATCTTGTATGAAATCCTTTACTCTCCATATTGTGCTGTCACCGTGTTTCTCATTAAGCTGCGAATATGTCTGTTATAATGAACGAAAAGTACAAGGCATGAACTATTTCAGAAACAAGTTGAAAGAATAATCTAATTTACGACTAATTGTTCAGTTAGTCGATCTACATGTCAATAGGGATCAGTGGCACCCAGGAGTCGACTGAATTTATTACGGTGTTGTGTATGTGTCGTGCTGCGTGGATTAGGATCCCGACTTGATGGAGTGTGGTCACAAATTAATTGTGGAGCATCATCCATTGCATAACAGCCTCTTCATTTGTTTGTGTGCACACAACAAGGTAATTAGCTTTCTGTTAATTAGGTAATTAAGCTAATGAACAGGAGCTGCTCTTGGTTTCCAATGAGGAGTGTTGGTGCTGGGGGTTTAAATGCTGTTCTTCTGCCGAAGGCTGTGGCATTCACGGTGTGACTGGAAGAGAATGCCTGCCAGAAGTTCAGTAATGAGTAAAAGAGGCAATCGGAAACAAGGTCGTGGTTAGCTCAGTTTAATCGTTAGCAAAGTGCATAAAGAAGTATACACATCCCTATTAAAATGCCATGTTTTGTATTGTAAAAAGTAAGACCATAAGTAATTTCAGAACGTTTTTCTATCTTTATTGTGGCATATGAAATAAATCTGCTCCAAATCTTAAAATAAACTCTACAATAAACTGAATACCTTTAGTGTGCACAATCTTTAACACTATTTCGAGCCACCTTTTGTTCAAGAACTTTAGGTTTTATTAGAACAAAACATCTTAAAATGTGGCTTTTCAACAAATAATGTAATGCAGTGAGAATTACACATAAACCATTCTACTGTATTTTAAAACAAATGCTATAAATATGCAAACCTAGTACAGTATGTACAATAGCTTTCAAGTTGTCAAACACAGACATGGACCAATCGTGCTTTGGGAAAATTTCACTAGCAGTATTCCATTTCTAAAATGCGTACTTATTCTACTGCATAAAAATTCAACATAGTAACTTTCCTAAAATAATGACTACAGTCATTTCTGAGCAAAAGTAATTTATTTATTTTTTTATTTAGCCAAAATCACTTTCCAGGAGTTCCAATAAGAATGGAACAGGCCTGATGTAGACTTTAACGTAATCCAGCCACTTCTATCCCGTTTTGTCCAGTTGGGTGCCGATTTTCATCCCAGCCACAAACTTCTTAAGAGAAACCTGGAGATTAGCAGGTGCCCATAAATCAGCTGTGATTTTCTTAGGAGATTGTTGATTGACCCGACACTTACTTGTGAAGCCAATCTTATTTACCGATCTCATGTACCTCAGCAATGCTCTAAAAATCAACCGCTGTCCTCTATTTCCGTGTAGTGAGGGGTTTGACCGACTGATCCATCCACGAGGTCATGTCTGCATGTTTGTAGTTAACAGTCACCTCACTGTTGCCAATTTAGTAACTTTCTTGCTACCTTTAGCTACTTTTTAGACAAAAGACATCAGTATTGATCAAAATCGAAAATGGCAGGTTAAAGATAAGTAATCAGGCCAGAAAACTGTAACCTGGTGGTTACTGCAATCAGCGCATCCCTACAGGGAATCAGTCTGACAAAGCCAACAGAACCACATCATCCATAAAAGGCAGAGACCTGATTTTGAGGATAACAAAACAGATCCCCACAACACCTTGACTGAGCCCAGAGATTCTGTTCATTAAAGCTATAAGCAGAATCAGTGATAAAAGGAAACCTTGGTTGTCAGGGTTCAACTCTCACCAGAAATGAGTTAGACTAAATCCCTGCTTATACAACCCAACCATATAGTCACAAATCAAATCCAGAAAATTTTTTTTATCCACATTATATTTCTGAATAGTTAAATTCAGTTGATCTTAGTGTGATCTATCTAGGGAAGTCTAGCCGATTGCATCAAGTTTTTGATTTCAAAGTTTTGGATTCTAAATGTCGCAAATCAAAACGTACTTGTAAAAATATGTAGTTTAGTTTTCAATGTGTACTTTTTAATTCCGTCACAGAGGAAACAGAAAAGGTGGAACTAGAATATTTTTGCTCAGTGTTCTTGGTTTTCTCAGTGAGAAGAAAAACTCCAAAGAAAATATTTTCAGCTCCATTTTATTTGATCTGCCCGTGTCACTGCAAAAAGACTTTACAGAGGGAAACAAAGATCCTTTTGAAAACTATCGACCTGACATGAGATTAACTACAAAGATGATGTGATAAAACATGCAAGATAACTTGAACGTATACTTAATCAAAAACAACTTGAAGTTGTTGTTAAATGAAAGATGCATATTGCATGGATGGGAGCTGATCTAGTTTTCCTCTAAGCAGTAGTCTACATAAAATCTCAGTTATTCACTCAGCCTTCATAAAGCATAATCCATCTTCAAACCACTAAAACATGAGGACAGTATGACCTACACATAATCACTGACCTAGAAGGCAGGAAGAAAACTATCAGATTTACCGTCAGTGGAAACATGTAGCGGAGGTGCGACGGGAGAAAAATGTCTGGCATTACCTCATTATCTACCAATCAGTAACTTCACTTCAGAGCTCAATTAAAAACAATATTGAATCCTGGAGCTTGGGGAAAAAATAACATTAAAACATTCCCTGATACTTTTTCAACACTTTTTTTTCGCCCATAAAAATAAAGCTTTAAAAATAATTATGGCCACATCCGCGCTGGACTTCGCTTTGATCCTTTACGATGGGTTCACACTGTTTAAGAAAGCAAATATTACATTCACTCCATCTGTGACGATAAAACCCAAAACGGACAAACAACAAAATTCTTGAACAACAAAAACATCTTACAAACAGCAGAAGAACGCTTTGGCACTGAAAAAGTTGAATGGATCATGATGGGAAAGCAGCAAATCGCAGTTAAAAACATACTAATCGGTGCAGCTAATAGTCACATTCAACCAGTTAGAATTTTCAGCAATATTCTAAATATTGAATGTGACTTATAGTCTGCACCAGGAATGACATGAGTGGTCCCAGTACAGTTCTAGCAGAACAGGAAATTGCCACCCTCACTACTCAACGCATTATGGATGAGATTTACACAGTTTTCCATCTCTGAACCCTTCAGAGCTTCAGGACCCATATTGTGATTAAAGCAAGGCAGCAGTCATTAAAAGATACAAAAATATATTGATAACCTCTCGTCATTGAAAGCAAAAAAATAAAATAAAAAATACTATCCTTAGTTAAGTTGTGGACATTGCCTTCCGTGAAGGCAGGTTCAGAGTTCTGGGTTTTGTTTTTTGTTTTTTATTTAAAGTGCTTTACAATCTAATGTCTTGAACGTCCTCCCTCAAAGGCATGATGATCCATATGAGCTGAAAGAGACAGAGTAATTTTATTACATTAGACATCTGCTTGACAAAGATTACTCAACGTGAAGGGCATGGAAAGTTCCAGGTGCTGCAAGGCCAGGATTTTCAAAATGTCAGCAACAGAGAGGAAGCTTTCTTGAGTCAGCGTTTAAGGGGTTTTTTTTTTTTTTTTTTTTTTTTTTTTTAAAAAAAACAAGTTTAAGGGTCAGGACAAGGCAAAAAAAAAACAGGA